TACAAGGAGACCCTGTCTCAAAAAAGGCAGAAAAAAAAATGAAACCTCAATAGCAATAACAAAAAGTGGGCTTTATTCAGAATATATCAAGATACTGTGTGTGTTCCAAAAGTCATCTATTTTTTTACCATTGTATTTACAAAATGCTTTAAGAAGGTGGATAGCTATCAGTTTTTCTAAGTCACATTATCATCACTTAGGTCTTATCTCTGGGTCCTCAGACTGAGAACCAGCAGGCAAGGATTATTTTTCTTTGAATACCTTCATAGGATCAGCTACAGGGTCCTGGCACTAGACACTTTATATTACTAAATGAATGGAAAAATATGTTCTCTGGCAGTTTCCGCCACTTAGAGAATTTCTCTGAAGTTTCTTGTTCTCATAGTGTCTTCTCTTCCCGTTGTAGCTTCATTGCCAGCATCCCAGGACAGCATCATGCCGATGCTGATTCTCTTGGCACAGAGTCGTCAAGATAGAAAGATGAGGATGCTTGCATCCTATAATGTTGCTCCTTTCAAAAACAATGTTTTCTCTTTAAGCCCTAATTAAATGGTTATGCCCCCAATGGTCCCCTGAGGATCTAGCTGAGGGTGATTTTTCCAGGGCTTCTAATCTCTAAAAGCGCCTATGCATCAAAATATCGCTCCAGGGACAATTATACTAGAGAGGAAACGTGCTTGCAAGGAATGCTCTTGCCTCTGGATGTGGGGTGAATCAGCTCTTCATCCTGGAGAAACCATCTTTTCTGCTTCGTGAACCAGTGAGAAATCTAATAAAAGCGTGTCTCCCATGGGTTTTTTTTTAATTTTTTTTTTTTTAGCATCATTAGCATCCTAGCTTCACGCTCTGCTGTAACAAATAATTTATTTAAACATTTTCTCTGGGGAGATGACAAGAAGCCAAAAATATCTTGGAAGAGAAAACTTTCCCTGGCAACCTTAATATGGTAGTTTCATGCACTTCTAAAATTTAACTTCAGGAAGCAAAATCTTTAAAACTGCTTTAATTCTTATTTTAGTCACTGAAACTTCTTCAATACTAATGAGAGAGAGAAAAAAGTAATGTTTTGTACGTCAGTAGCATTTCAAAGGACATTTATTATAAAGGTTACTACTATAATTGGTCACCTATTCCAGGCAGGATGTTGAAGTGTTTTAGAACCCAACCTTTTTTATTTTTATTTTTCGAGACAAGGTCTCACTACGTAGCCCTAGGCATGCTGGAACTCACTATATAGATCAGGTTGACTTTGAAATCACAGAGCTCCACCTGCTCCTGACTCCCCACTGTTGGGATTAAAGGGGTACACCACTACACCCAGTTAGAACTCAATCTTTAACACAATCCTATGTAGTAATGGGTATTACAGGTTCCTTTTTACTAATAGAAACAGGTTTAAGAAAGTTGAACAATTTGCACAGGGTCACAAGGTCATATAATTAATAAATGACTGAAGTCAGATCTATCTAATTATAAAACCCATGGACTTTCTTTCCTTGTAATCTTAAAATGTGAAAAAGAAATTCTTTTCCATGTACAAATCTTCCTACATCTGTATCTTTTTTCCTCTTCCTTGTGTGTGTGTGTAGGCCAGAGAGGAAGCCAGATGTCTTCCTCAATCACTTCATCTTTTTTTTTTTTTAGAAGAAGCATTTCATTGCAGCTTTAATATACTCAGTAAGTTTCCAGAGCAAAGATTCATCTCTTTTCAAAAGTGGCTATAAAATTTTTAGGTTTGCTGTTGGATTAATACAGTTATACTCTATTGAACTCAGTATAAGCCCTCTAAGACATAAAATTGAATGAGTTTTTAACCTTTAAAAAAGATCTCCATTTCATTTTAAAGCATACTGTTTCTTACAGAAAGACTCGTTTTCGCTAATAACACTGAGATGTTGGCGCATGGTCTCTCATCTGTATGTATCTGATTATTACTAGTCATAATCGGTTGCACTCGGATCCTTGGCACTTGTGCACATCTATAAAGTCATCGGGTAGATTTCAATGGTAATGTTTATCACCTCTACTAATTAATATGATGTAAATTTTTATGCTTCCTCCTCAAACATAATTTTTTAAATTTGTTGATTTTTTTTGTGTGTATATATCACAAAGAACATCCCAAACCATCTTATTCATCTATACACCCACTTCCCAGATGGTACCCTCCCAGAACCTCTCTCCCCCCACTAGAGCTCTTATACTCTTGTTATCCCTGCTACTGTCCACTGTCCTCAGCTGTTCCCCACTGGTGAATTCATCCATCTGGTGAATCTAGTCAGCCTATCTAGAAGTCTTTGTTTTAGGAAGGTCAGCTGTTCCTCATCTAGCAGCAACCAGTCGTCAATATTACTTTAGATAAGATTGGGGTCTGCTGTTCATTTTCCCAGTTCTATGCTGGGTTACTATCTGGGAGTCTTTTGGGCCACCCTGGCTAACAACTCAAAAGAAGGTATCTCCTATCTGGCATTGTTGCTTGTTATATAGCCACATGGATTCTTAAATTATATTGGCCCCTTTAATCTTTGGTTATACTTTACTTTTCAGTGTTTAAGGCCATACAGTTGGCCCAGATAAACCAATTTATTTTTACTCTTAAGGTCATTTGAGGATCTGTTCCTCAGGGGTCACATGGGCTTGGGAGGAGCCCCTGGCTCCTTTCTTTTACAAGTTCCGCCTATGACTTTGTCCTAGTTTGTTTCTTCATTGCAGTGACAAAACACTCTGACCAATACCAACTTGGGGAGGAAAGGGTTTATTTAGCTTACATATCCTGGGTTACAGTTCATCCAGGAGCCCAAGATAGGAACTCAGGGCAGGAACCTGGAAGCAGGAGCTGGAGCACAGGCCATAGAGGAATGCTGCTTACTGGCTTGTTCCCCTGGCCCCTGCTCAGCCTGCTATCTTGTAAAACACAGGTCCACCCACCCAGCGGTGGCACCATCCACAGTGGGCTGGGCCCTCCCATGTCACACAACAATCAAGAAGATGCCTCACAAACGTGGCCACAGGCCAGTTCAATGGAGGCAATTTCCCAATTTGAGGCTCCCTCAACCCAGGTGTGTCAAGTTGACACTAATGCCATTCAGCACAGACTTCTTCACCTTTTTTGGAGACAGTCTGTCACTGAATCTGTAGCTCACTGATTTGGCTAGATGGGCTGGCCAGCAAGCCCCAGGGATCCTCCTGTCTCTGCCTCCTCAGCGCTGGGATTACAGGTGTTTGCCACCACATCCAGTTTATTCAGCAATGTTCTTTTTTTTAATATGAAAATTTATTACTGCTGTGTTTCTGTTATCAAAATTTATGATCTTGGTCTTTCTTGCCTTTGTATCTGATCAAAAGAGACACATTAACTACTTTAACAACTGTAAAGTGGACCCAAGAAGCTGGGGATGTAGCTCAGGTGGTAGAGTACTTGTATAACATGCCTGAGGTCTTGAGTTTAATCCTCAGATCTACATAAATTAGGCTTGTGTACAATATTTCAGTATGTATGACAGATTTTCTCACTTTTTATCTTATTTTTTGTGTAAGTGTGCCTGCATGCTTAGCCTAGCACACGTGTGGAGGTTGCTCTTTTAAAATTACGTTTATGTGCCGGGTGTGGTGGCACACGCTTTTAATCCCAGCACTTGGGAGGCAGAGGCAGGCAGATCTCTGTGAGTTCAAGGCCAGCCTGGTCTCCATACGAATCCAGGCCAGCTGCGGCTACAGGGAGATCCTGTCTCAAAAAGACCAAAAAAAAAAAAATTTACATTTATGTATGTATTATGTATGTATGTATGAATGTATGTATGAATGTATTGTATGGGAGGCTTCTGAGTCCACACTTTTAAGAGTTGGCTCTCTTCTTCCACAATGTGGGCACCCAGGATAGAACTCAGGTTGTCAGACTTGGTGGAAAACTCTCTTCCTGGCTTAGTCACCTCCCTGGCTTTTGACAGAATTCTTCTCTTAGTTGGCACTTCTGTTCTTTAATGGTTTAAAAAGTGAAGCATTTATTGAATATCATGCTGTTCTTCTCAGAAACTAGATAACTTGGATGATCATTTTATTTCTTAAACTATAGATTTTTTTTTCCCCTGGGGTCAGGAAAAGGAGAGGTTTTTAGGACTTCACTTAGTGCCTACAAGTCAATAAATAAAGTATGAATGAGGGGCTAGGATGCTGGAGGTAGGCTGATCAGAAGTTCAAGGTCATCCTGGCTTGGAACTCCCTATGTAGACCAAGCTAGCCTCCATTTCAGAAAGCCGCCTGCCTTGCCTCCCAAGTGCTGGAATTCAAGGTGTGCCACCACCACACTCGGCTGCTTTAGGTTTCTGTTTTGTTTTGTTTTTTTAATTTAAAATTTTTATGTAAATGAGTGTTTTGCCTGGTTGTAAGTACACCACATGCTTGCAATGCCCGTGTAGGTCACAGGGGGCACCGGATCCCCTGGAACTGGAGTTACTGACATGGATACTGGGAATCAAATCCAGTCCCTTCGCAAGGTGCAGCCAGTGCTCTTAACCACCAGCCATCTTTCCAGGCCCGTGCTTTATTATTTTTTAAAATACAATCTTAACCAGGCATGTCAAAGGCCTTGTACAGCGAGCCCCATGAGTCCTAGAATATCTAAGAATCTGGCCTAACACATTTGTAGATGACATCAGGCAGCAAGGTCAAACGGTTGGACAGCCATGCCTGAGTCTACAGGATATTTGTAAATTTTACTAGACCACCCACAGTTGGGAGTGGAAGACGCTTTTTAAGTTCTTAAAACCCGGGGAAAAGATGCCCATAATCTCTCACTAACCTCCCTAACAGGGGGCGGGGCGGGGC